CTCTTCAGATGATCTCTTCATTCTTCTGTCTAGAATCATCCATATGACTTCTTGAGAGTAATCCTCAGAGCATAGATATTCTGATCTTTTATTATCAGAACATCCATCTGTTTGTCAAGCTTCCTTTTGAACAAAAGCTTAATTTTCAGAAGGATAATATTTCATGAGCTTTTGATAAGCTATGGGCTTTAGAAAATTAACTAACATTTCCTAGCGTCTTATGAATTTTTGATTCCTTGAACAAATTGTAGAATATGTTCTAATACAAATATCATCAAAATTTGATGATTTTGACTGACAATCTTGTTCTTACAATGTTGAGCTAACTTGTTTAGAGTTAGTCTATCAAGGCTTTTCAGCATATCCGCTTCAGAGTGAATGACTTTTGTCTTTGCATATTTTAAAGCATTTTCCATTCAAGAATTCATATATCAAGAATTCATTTGATTCCTAATGAATCAATAAACTTTCTTTTCTAAGCAGTTTTCAATTTTCTACAGAGCTTTCCAAAGGAAACAATATTCATAATTTCTACATTAGATCTTCTACCTGCTTGATTGGTTAGGCTTCAGATGTTCTAACTCAGAAATTATTTCTAAGAGATTTGAATTTCTCTGTTCAAGATTTCTGACATTTTTCTGCAGACTTCATCATAAAGTTCATATGTATCAAAATCAGAAGACAACAATCTTTCTTCTTTACTTGAAGAAATTCCTAATTAGATTTTATGAGAAAGTTAAGGGTGGACTAATCCGTTTCTTGAAAACATCTCATACTCACAAAGAATTAATCTTTAGCACGCAAAATTTCTTATTTTCTGATGATTTGATCTTTGAGCAAATACATTGTTCATCTAATCGTAAATTTTAAGAAAAGAATTCAATATATATTGCTTCTTATATGATGAACTTGTCTTGTCAATTGACTCTTCAATCTTCTTTTATTGCCAGAATTTAGTCTTTGTCTAGAAGAGCTTCACCAGAAGAGGTTGGCTCAATCAAGGACACCAAACCCAAAAGCATTTCTTTATGAGGTTTAAAATCTTATTTGGTTCTGATAAGAGATTTTTTATCTCCCAGAATCAGTTTTTCAGAAGGAGAGATTGTGATTCTGCTTTTCGTCTTGACGGGTCAGAAGGAGCAATAACTGCATCTGAATTGGGAGCTTTTGATGCTACGACTTCTTGTATCTTCTTCTTGGGTTCTGAACAGGTTATCTCCAAGAGAGAAGATTTTGTTGTTGACATCTTCCATTTTTGAAGAATCAGAGACTGGCTCAAGGCAATCCATTTGGTTACAATTCAGTGCTCAATCATCATCTTCTGATATGAGACTGTAATTGAAGGTGGAGTAACTATCACCCATAATATTTTTTTTCACACGGCATTTGGATCTTTATCTAACGCTATTAATTTTTTGATATCCATCAAAAATAGAATCGGACTCTGATACCCATTGAATGTGTGAAGAAAATGCAAGAAAGGGGGGGTTTGAATTGGATTTTCCTTTCTTAACAGCTTTTGTTTCTTAACATTGTTGTGTTGAGGGATGTTTTTGAATATGTTGTAGAAGCATAAATAATTCAGCATAAGCAAAATTAAGGAATACATGATATATCCTGACTCACTTGAGAAACCCTCAAGCTAGTTTAGTCCATCCTACCAAGGTGATTTCGCCTTGAACTCAAGAACTTAATTCACTATAACCAAATCTGATTACAAATGACAACAATAAGCCTGATCAACCTTGCTGACAATCCTAACAAGTTCAACTAATCCTTACTGCCAATTCTGCAAAGACTGCAGCCTATGCCTTCTTGAGAATCCTGACTCAACTGATTCTCTCAAGGAATAATACAATGATACATTCAGTGATCTCCATAAGATACAACGATCAAGGACCCCTGAAGAAATCTGACCAACCTGGTCTTTCTTAACAGGATTTCATATACGATGACTGCACCCAAAGTATTCTTGAGAATCCTGACTCAACCGAGTCTCTCAAGGAACCATCAACATTCAACTGATAATGTTTATGTTTACATTATTTCTTCTTTCTAAGCATATTACACAAATGATTAAGTCTTTATTGTTTGACATAATTACGAGCAACAACTATTGTGTACAAACAATTTACATGAAGAACTAAAGATATAACATAATATGAGAAACAACTATTGTGTTTATATGATTCTACAAATATGAATATGATCTAAGTTTAAGTGCATCATCTTGTAGTCTTCTTGTCTTCATTTTATTCAAGTAGCTTCTTCACTAACAATAGCCCAAAACACTTGAATTGCTGAAGTCTTCTTCTTCATAAGCTTCTGAAACTTTGTTGATATTAATGTAGTAAAGAGAATAAATTATTAATCTTGATTCATCATAGAACATTATGGAAAACAACCCTTGTTCTATTTAATTCAATGATCACTTTAGAACACAACATTCATGTTGTGAATTTGTAACTGGAGCTTCCAATATCATTTTCATTATCTTTTGCGACTTAGCAAGCTTCTTGCAGTATATGAAATTAAGCACATTATGAATCAATGATTTCATTGTTATCTTATAATCATCAACAACATGATTGAAGAATCATTTTGACAATAATTGTTCTTGTTGTTGTTATAGTGGTTGATAATTTTGGTTGTATTCCAATAATGACTGCTTTCATTTGAACATGAAACACCAACAACATTTTAAGCATGTGATCCTTTTCTTATATAGCCAAGCAAAATATAGTCGTTGGATATTGAAAAAGAGTCGTTACACAAAGATGAAAATAGTACTTCCACTTCTTCTTTTTTCTATAATTCAAGCTTGTGGAGAGGTAGTAGGATATAGTTTTTCGTACTGTGTACTTATCATTGCTAACAGTAACATTTGTCTTTGAAACTTCAGGGGCTTCTATTGGTAGATTATTGAAGCATGAGTAGAATCGTGACATTTGAATCTCCAGATAATCAAGTTTTCAATCGTTAGAATTTGTTCACTCAGAACCCTGTCTTCGAAACTTCGACACTTGGTCTTGAGATCTTTTTCTAGAACCTTGAGTCTTTAGAACTTCAAGTATTCAGAGTCTTCAGAACCGCGTCTTCAGAGTCTTCAGCACTTATTCGTTTAGAATCCTTTGTCTTCAGAAACATGAGTCTTCAGCATCTGGACTCCAGTCGAAACTTCTGTCTTCAGATCTTCCGACTGGTTTCTTTAGAATACATTGTCTTTCGAAACACGAGTCTTTAGCATTTGGACTTAAGTAGAACTTCTTTCTTCAGATCTTCTGACTTGCTTCTTTAGAACACGTTGTCTTTAGAAGCACGAGTCTTCAGCATATGGACCTAAGTATAACTTCTGTCTTCAGATTTTCTGATTTGTTTCTTTAGACAAACATCAAAGCCACTTCAGAAGCTTCTAGAGTATCTTATTACTATTCATCAGAGCTTGTGTAGTGTAGAAGCGGAATTAATTCTCTTCTAATGTCTTGACCACGCTATTCATCAGAAGAAGAACCTGTTTGTTAAATACTCAAAGATAACAAACATTAGAATATCAAAATTGTTCATACAAACATACTTATTTGTTATAATCAAAACTCAGAGATAATATTGATGAACAAAATCTTGTTCTAAAAATTTACACGGGCTTTGAGTGTGGCATTTTCCATGTCATATCTCAAATGAATGTCTGCATGTGGATCAAACTGAAATAACTCTGCTTGATGATGAAATCGGAGAATGCTATGAATGTGAAGTCCTCAAAGACAACAGAAACTGCGTGGAGAAATATATTAGATATGGATGGTATGAATATGCAAAATAAAAGAAGCTAGGAATTGGTGATGTTTTGTGTTTTACGATTTGCAATCATCCAGAAATCTTGTATGTAACTGTGAAGAGACGTTAAAGAGGATAAGACATTGAAGAACTGTGATGTGAAAAACTTCTTTGAAAATGTTTGTTTGTTTATTATAATGTTCGTGTTTTGTTAAAAGTAAAAAAATAAGATGTTATAGTAGTGAATTACATTTAAGTAATTAACTGGTTTATTACTAAATTTATTTTATTATAAGTGTTTGTAATATAAATTAATTTATATAATGTTTATTTTGAAGTATACTTAAACATACTTTTAGGAACCGTTTATTCAACTGTCATATTTTATAAATACTAAAACTATATGACAGTAGGAACTTGTTATAATGTTTAAATGACACTAGACTTTGGTTAGTGGAAGTAATAAAGCTCTAAATAACTAACATCCATGTTAATCTATTAAGTATTGTGAAAAAAACCCTTGTATATAACATTTGTTGTTGAAGTTTTGATGCCATTTCATCATGGACTAAGATCTTTATTCCTTTTCTACTAGTAACCCTTAAGATAGCAACATAGATTTGTCCATGACTAAATACATTCTTGGATCAATAGAGACCAATCCAATTCAAACTTTGACCTTGCGATTTGTTAATTTGCATCAAGTAACATACAATTATTGAGAATTAGTGTATGTTCAACTTGAAAGGACAAGGTGATTGAAAAGATGACATATCCAACCTTGGGATATAGATGACTTTGCCATGGCCTTTACCAGCCACCATTTGAGTTTCAATAACATGATTTCCTATTTTTGTTACAATGAGTCTTATGTCATTACACTAACCTTCAGATTGATCAATATTACTCATAAGCATTATAAGTGTTTTAATATTTAATTTGATGTGATGGTTTGGCAAACCAGAAGTTCTTAATGAACTCAGAAACTCATGTGTAAGTACTTCAATGATGTTATTATCATAAATTTCTGATCTATCAATGATGTTATTATCATAAATTTCTAATCTATCAATGAAGTATGAGCTATAGTAATCATTCGTGTATCTTATATTCGTGTCTCCTATATAAAATTGATGGTGTTGTATATGATTGCTATATATGAAAAGGAAAAAAAATTCTAATCTATAATGAACAACAGTAATACAATGTAATGGGTATAACATACATCATTTGAAGGATGTAATCATTAATTTGATCAACAATAGGATTGCCCGACTTTTGAGATAGTCGTAACATTTATAACTATTCATGAAATCCAGATATGTACTTTCCACAATGACAATAATAGGATATATATACTTTCCACAATTCCACTTTATTTTGAAGATCATTGTGAGACCTAATAAAGAGTATAGTTGCAAAGGATATTCAACGGGGTCACAAATTCCCACCTATTTCAATAAAATTGAAAAAATGTTAGCAACATTTCCATAGGATATCGAATAAGTTATGTACAAAAGTAATGTATTGAAGATCACCTCTAACATAGTTGCACGAAGTTGTGTTGCAAATACTCTCAATAGTTGTGCACTCTCATGATCCCAAAGAACAAAAGGCGAAGAACAACCACCCCGCTTCAGAGGAAAGACATGTTTGTTGACATCTCCAACAGATGTACCACCAGTAAATTTTAAAACATATTTGTGATCAGAAGTTTTGAAAAGCATGTCATTGGGATAAACTTGAAAGTATATGGTATACGTATTGTTAATTGTTAACACTGATTCAAAAGATTTCCTAAACATAATAGGAACAATGACATGAATATCTCTCTCCTGAAACTCGAAGGAAATGTGTGATTCAGAAAGAGAACAATGATAAACAAAACGATAAAAAAAAACAGTAACCAACCTATAAGAACACAAGGAGTTGAAACATTTTTTTTAAAAAGAAGATCAAAATGTCAAAAAGTAGAACATGACAAAAACCATATTAAAAGTGATATTTAAAAAAGTAATAATATAATGTCATTATTAACGGGTTATCTCGCTATCAATGAATATCATCTCGAAGTGTTCTTTTGTATTAGAAACGACGGTTCACTTGTGGTGTATTTTTGTCACGATCTTCCAAAGTTATTTTCTATCATTAATATCTGTAAGGTCTTGCCATATAGAGGATTTGAAGAACAGGATGAAGAAGTAAGCACATAAATGTAATTTTAAGGTGATATTGTAAAACATTTGTATTTTATAAAATAATGGAAAAGATGAAAAAATAAAGACATTACCAATTATCAGTTATGTGAAGAGGAGGAGGAAGGTGAAGGTGAAATTGGTTTCAAAGTTGAGGAAAATGAAGTTTTAGAAAAGTAAAGATTAGAGTATAATTAGGGTCGGCCTTAGGCCAGGGTAGGGGTGTGCAAAAAAATTGGTTACTGATAACCAAATTCATATCTAAATTGTTCTATTTATTAAAACCCAATTCAAATATCTTTTCAATTTTCACACTTTCTCAAGAAAATAAGCTCTACACATTTTCATAAAAATTGAATGATGTTTTTTAACACTTTATTTCAAATGACTAGTTATTAAATAAATATAAAAATATTTAATTATAGTTAAAAAATATGCAAACACTCTCAAATAAATTGAAAGATATAGTATACTAAACATTTAAAAAGCAAATATATTATTATCACTGTAGAAGACAAATTTAAATTTGAAAGAAATTTGTTTGAACTTGATCTCTTTTCATTCAATATACATATAATTTATATAAGAAAACGAATATGCACAGTGAATTAATTAATATTATCTCAGTATTAATTGATTTTTCTTTTAGGATTGATAAAACAAAAAAGATCATTTAAATATAAAAAGGTTTTAAAAAATACTTTGTGACCGTGAGAACGACTGCGACAAAATGTTTTGGACATATGTCGATATCGATACTGTTATATCCGTTTTATCTTAAAAAATAAATTATAATTAATAATTTACACTGCGACGAACACAATTAATGTCGTAACACCTCTATTGACCGAAATTGCAAAAATTATAATACGACCGCGACAATTTTTTAAAATCTGCTTAAAATTAAATTAAGGATGTGCTTTATTAATGCTTAAAAAAATTAATACTGAATTAATTTTAAAATTTTATTAATTAAAATAAATTGAATATAGATGAAATTATATTTAAATAATTTGGATTAATCCGGTTTGAAACCAATTATGTTTTTTAAATCAGTTTTTGTAATTAATGGTTTGGTTTGTAAATCATAACCATAAAAATAGATTGAATCACAATGTATGATAATCATACACACCCCCAAACCAGGGTAACCAGATCCATAGTCGAAAACCTCAAAAATTATGGAGCCTCAAAATTTGATATTGGATTTTATATATATTTAACATCAAAATAGTTATATAAAACAAAAGGAAATTGCATTCAGCATAACTATTATGGTCCAGTGGTTGAAACTTCTCCATATATATATATATATATATATATATATATATATATATATATATATATATATATATATATATATATATATATATATATATAAGGGGCAGAGTTTGATTTTTTTTCTTTTTTTTTTCAATTTAAAAAAAGCCATTATCTATATATAGTTTTTTTTTGTCTTTTTCAAAAAATAATTTAAATATTATTTATGTAGTTAAATATTAACCTAATAACAAATTTATATCTTTCTCAAAAATAAAATATTTTATTTTTATATTTATCATTGCTTTATTGTTATAATAGTTATGTCATGTATGTTTTGTATTGATACTTTATTGTTGTTATTTGTTTATTTGAAATTTAAGTAAATGTTATTTTATATACTAATTATTTCTTAATTTTTTTATTTATGAATCAACTTTAACGTTGTAGAATTTATCGGTTCAATTTTAATTCTGCGGAATTTATCAGTTCCACTTCAACTATGCAAGATTGATCGATTTTAATTTCAAGTTCTAAATTTGTTTTCATTATTCCTCTATGCCTCTTAAATTGCCTCCTGAAATTAGAAAATTTGATTTTAGATATGAGAAACGTAAGAAAAAGAAAAGACTTGATGAGTTAACTCAATCTCAATCAGAAACTCTTGATAAACCTATTATAAAATAACTACAAATTCCTAATGAAAATCAGAATGTTGATGTTGGAATAATTGAAAATATAATTTCTACTGAAAAATAGAGGAAAATATTAATGTTAATGCTACTGAAAATGATTATTTAGATACTGAAAATATGGAGGAAATGTTCACTTTCTTGAACATAAAATTCAAAACGAATTAATACTTTTACTTGCTTCTACAATTAAAAATAGAATCATTACATTATTTATTAGAAATCCATTTTTATCATTAGCCCAGAGCCTCTAAAAAACTAGAATCGTTTTTGAGTACAAGGGGTTGCAAAAGTAAATGAGAAAACGTGTAATAGTTTAAACTTGAATGGTGTGCACATCAAAAGTTTTGAGAAGTAAGATGGCCTTGACTGATTAGGTTGTAATAAGTTAGAGTCGTAAAAGGACCAATTGAAAGTTAACCACTTTTGCATATTACATTTGAAAAGGAGGAAAAACACAAGAGGGTAAAATTAAATGTGTTTTTTGTTGGACCGTTGTTTTTCATTTGATTCGGTTTGAGTTTTATCAAAAAAAAATATAAATTATTCAATTCAAACTAATTCATATATTTTTAATATGGCATAAGATTCTTCCAAAACCAAATCAAACCATCCTACAAACAATCCTAGACAAAATTGAACTTTCCATACGATTAATTTTCTTATGACCATTAGTAGCCTTCTAAATTCTGTCCCAGTTGTCGGATTTATTGTCTCCATTATCAAAAGTGTTAGTTTTTTTTTTTCATCCAAAACAATATTCAATAAAAAAAATTATATTTCAATTAAAAAAAATGTAGATTTAATTTTAAATAAATAGACAATGTGAAATTGTACCATAGAAGAAGAAAAAAGGTGACAGTGTGAAATAGAGTAAGTAAGAAAAAAGTTGAAGCTTTTAAAGATACAGACATAAGAATTAATATAATAATAAAAAAGCGGAAAGAAAAAGATGGAAGAAGAAAAAGAAAGCACACGAGATTAGAAACGAACACACACAGCAGAGCACGCTTTTCTTACCCAAACACATTCCTTTCCACGCATCTTCTTCTTCTTTTTATCTCTTGTCACTCAGTTAGACTCATGAGTTTCTCGCTCTTCTATTCTATCCCGTGACTCTCTCTCTCTCTCTCTCTCTCTCTCTCTCTCTCTCTCTCTCTCTCTCTCTCTCTCTCTCTCTCTCTCTCTCTCTCTCTCTCTCTCTCTCTCTCTCTCTCTCTCTCTCTCTCTCTCTCTCTCTCAAATCAAAATAACTAACTAATTAACTGTTATAGTTCAATTCTGCATGATTTCTCGCCACCATGCGCTCCCCTGATCCACTCCGCAACGGCGTCGACAACAACCGTTCCCCCTCCGCTCCTCGCTTCCACTCCACCGTCGCCGAACACAAACTCCGTCGTTTCAATTCACTCATCCTCGTTTTCCGTCTCACTTCCTTTTCATTCTCACTCGCTTCCTCTATCTTCATGCTCACCACTTCTCGAACCTCCGATTCTCCTCACTGGCACCACTACGACACTTTCAGGTAACTAACTAACTCTATTTTCATTTCAATTTCAATCTCAACAAAATTTAACTGATGTTATATTACTGAATTTAAACAGATTCGTTGTTGCCGCGAACGCGATTGTAGCTGTATATTCTCTATTCGAAATGTGCGCTTCCGTTTGGGAAATTTCAAGAGGCGCAACACTTTTCCCTGAAGTTTTGCAAGTTTGGTTCGATTTTGGCCATGACCAGGTCAGAAACATGCACTATTTCGTTTATATCGTTAGATAAATTATTTAATTAATCAAATATAGATTGACATAATAACGTTGCGGCGGTGTAGGTGTTCGCGTACCTTCTATTATCGGCGAGTGCGGCGGGGACGGCAATGGCGAGGACGCTTAAGGATATGGACACGTGTACGGTGAGCAATTCGTTTTGCGTGCAAACGGACATAGCGATTTCGTTAGGATACGCGGCGTTTTTGTTTCTAGGGTTTACTTCGCTGTTATCTGGATTCCGTCTCGTTTGTTTCATAATCAACGGTTCTCGTTTTCATCTCTGATGAATCTTTTCTGAGAAGTTTTGCGTGGAAACGACGTCGTAGATGAATGAATGCCGGGGAATATTTGTGTGGGGTCAGGAGCATTCTTTTCTTGGTTCTCTCAATTGGATGTGATTTGATTTGGACGGACATGATTGCAGAAGAACTTGAGTTGAAAATATACGCGTGACTTTGATACCGTAGATTATTGTTGTAGCAAAAGTATTTGTAACACTATTTTATTCCAATAATTCTATTGATTTTTCCGCTTAATAATTTCATTACCTGCCTAGATTTTTTTTTCAAACGGATTAGATAGCGGGTCAATTTTTCAACTAAACTGATTATGAAAATTAAAGGGAGGAGTACGTTTGTAATTAAAGGACCTTCAACATTTTTAATCGGTCAAAATAGGTTAGTGAGTTAATAAATCAAAGCTAAAATTAAACATGGGTGGTTCCAATCAATTACACCTTCAAGTGCACCATGATATAAATTTATTTGAATTTTGGGTTGCTTAATGTATTCTTAGCTTGGTCCATTTTTAT